ATTTATCTACATGACACACAGTAATTAAAAGTACCAGACTGGTGAAACTAACCTTCTTGGATGTTTAACAGACATACTTTGAGGCCTACAATAATTTGGTCAGAGGGACACAAAGGACACTTTTTGCTCCTTGCCCTCCTAGGTCGACTAGTTCCAGGGGACTATGAGCATCTCTCAAAATGTCTTATAATGGTGGTGGGTCATGCATGAATTCATTTTATCCTCACAGCAAGCTGGAATTGGAGCAGACATTCCTGGAGTTTTTTTCCAAAGTCATTCCAAAATCATCCCACTACTGTATGTGTTACAATCCAGGAAACCATTTTCCTTTTTCCCTGTTCTGTTTGTAGCTAACACTGGTCAAGCTCAACCATTGAGATAGAAGGCACAGTTTGTAGGCAGTGTCTTGGAAACATTTTTGCCTCTGGTGAAAAGAAAGAAATGTGTGGAGAAGACTCCAACTTTAGCACTGCACTTCCTCCTTGGGTGCAGCCATGTGTGGACATGAAACTTGGAGCTGCTAAGTAAGGTCAAGGTAACTGCTCCCTCCACTAGTGGCTCACCCAACGCCCTGATATCAGTGAGCCCAGATGTGGTGGTATAATAAGAATATCCCCCACAGGCTCCAAGTATTTGATCACTTGGTCAGTTGGTGGCACTGTTCTGGGAGGGTTGTGGAACCTTTAGGAGGTGTAGCCTTGCTGGAGGAAGCCTGTCACTGGGGCTGGGCTTAGAGAGTCTATAGCATGCCTACTTCCGGTCTGGCCCTCTCTGTTTCCTGTGCCTACTGGAAGATGTGAGTGTTCCTGCTCCTGCCCCACCATGATGGATTCTTATCCCTCTGGAACTGTAAGCTCGATAAACTCTTCCTTTATAAGTTGCCTTGGTCATGGTGTTTTATCACAGCAACAGAGAAGTAACTTACAAACCAGGAAAGGTCATTTTCAGATGTCAGCGGGGTTGGGGAAGAATGTGAGAGCAAACAGACTAACGGCAGAGCAGGTCTCTCAAACTGTTCATGCCCATGAGCTTCTTCCAAATGCTGACTCTGCAAAGGCTGCCACCTTGTGGAAACTGCCCACCACAGAGCATATTACACTGGTGTGGAGGGCAGAGGGCAACTTTTCAGGGGTTGGTTCTTGCCTTCCACCTTGTGGAGGCAGGGTCCCTGTTCTTTCTGCTCTACCACTTACTCCAGGCTAGCTGGCGTAGAAGCTTCCAGGCAATTCTGTCTTCACCCGCCATCTCACCAAAGGAGTGCTTGCGATTACAGTCGTGTGCCACTGCATCCAGCCTTTTGTTTTTTACATGGCCTCCGAGGACTGAACTTGGGTCATCAGGCTTAGTTGACTGGCACTTTTACCCACTGAGCATCTCCCTGGTCCAGTTATCATTCCTTCTATCACACTCCTCATCTGTTGTCAGTTATGTCGCCAGGTCACAAGCTCTGATACTACACAGAGCGTGGCACCAGATTGTCAGTTATAAAGATGAATCTCCCAACATGCCCTTTGCTGCTGCTGCTGCAAGTGCTTTGTTCTCTAGTTTGCCAAGGACAAATTCTTTTATGTTTAGGTTGTAAGCCTGAGCCTTTAACGGCAAAGTCATCTCTCCATTCCCCAAAGACAATTTCAGTGAGAAATTGTGCTGATAAAAGGTAGCTTTGATGACCTAAACCAAACACCGGTAGGAGACGCCAGACTCCATTTCCTTTCCCAATGGGCTCTTGGCTCTTCCTGGGAGGACTCACCTGTGGATGGAGGCCAGCTTGGTGGAGTTCCTACCCACTGAGAACTGAGAGCAGTGGAGGTCAGCTTCAGCCCAGGTCTTATTAAGTGGGAAGACTCTGTAGCAGTGACCTTTGAACTCCATCCAGAACAGCAGACACAGGGAAACCTGGGAGAGCTCTGGCAGAGCTGAGGACAGAGAGAAAACAGTGAGAGGAAGGTTGGTTCTAATGCTGCGTCTATGACTTATTATGCAGTTTTAAGAATAGAAATAAAACACATCCATTATGATCAAAGCAGCTCTGTGCCTGAGGTTTAAAAAAAAAAGCACACCCAAACTTTTCAAAATAATAAAGGTAACAGATGCTCACTGTAATTGAAAATTGTGATATTTCTGCCTGAGCCTCCCAAGTGCTTGGATTACAGGCATGTGCCATCATGCCCAGGTTTTTTATACAATTGTGATTATATTGTACTATATATGCTAAACAGTATTCAGACTTCTACAATTAAAAGGTAATAGTGGGGTATTTCCCTTATGCTAAGGGTAAGTTTTATAAATATTGATTTTTAATGATTTATTTTCATTTTTTATGTGTTGGTGTGTGTGTCTGTGTGTGTATGCTTGGATGTATGCAGTTGCTCGTGGAGGCCAGAAGAGGGTGCTGCATCCCCTGGAGTAAAGCTACAGGCAATTGTTAGCTGCTTGATATGGGTGTTGGGAACTAAATTCAGATCCTCTGGAAGAGCAGCAAGTGCTCTTAACCACTGAGCCATCTCTCTAACCCCCTGTATTGTTTTTTTAAATAGCTCTTGTATAGCTCTTAAGTGGCCTTCCTAGAGTTTAATCACTTCCTTGTTTTTGGCTAATTATATTGCTTTCCTTTTTTAAACTATTATGAATAATGCGGAGACAGTTTTGTGCACAAAGCTTTTTCAGTATTTCTGATTATTTTCTGAGGAGAGATTTTTGAAGGCTTTGATACAATTTGCTAAATTGCCTTCTAAAAGCAATTTACCCTCCTACAAGTGCTGCCTGAGAGGACCCATCTCACCCTGCCCTAGCCAGCTTCCTGGAAATCTTTGCAAATGTTACAAACAAGAAATAGTAACTTGTTTCGATTTGCAATTTTAGGCTATCTGACATGGGTGCCCATTTTTACATGTGTTTCTTGACAAGTTAGAGCCAAGACTATTTATATCTCTTGCCCATCACACTACCAGGGTTCAGGATTTGTTGTTAATTGTGAAAAGGAACATTAAAAAAAAAAAAAAAAAAAACCTGTGTTTGAGATGACAAAGTTCTCTTAAGCCCTGGCTTCTCTGAAAGCTTCTTGGGGGATATTTGTCTTGGAAACACAACTCAAGATGGCTGACAGTTGACAACTAAGTTGGGAGACTCACACAGTGAGTGGTAGACTGTGGTGACATTTCTGAGGTTGGGAAGCCTGGCTGCAGCTCCACCTTTGTGTCTGACCTGTTGTGAGTCATAGGCACAAATGGATAGACACTGAGGGTCCCTTTTGTGACCACCCAGAGGCATGGAATGTCTGCCTTCAACCCACTACCATAGCTGAGCCTGTGGAAGCATAACAGAGTGAACAGGGGTTGGCAAGATGGCTCAGTGGGTAAAGTGCTTGCTGCAGATCATGAGAACCTGATTTCAGATCCCTAGCACCCACATGAAAAGCTGGGTATGGTGGTGCATGCCTATAATCCCATTGCTGGGGAGGTAGAGACAGAAGGATCCTTGGAGTTTGCTGGCCAGCCAGTCTAATTGAATAGGTGAGCTCCAGGTTCATTGAGGGATCCTATCTCAAAAAATAAGGCGGAGAGCTATTGAGGAAGACAGACAGTGTCGACTTCTGGCGCACACACACACGTACTCGGTCATGCACACACACAACATAGCAGACAACATTCATGGACTATTTTATTTTTATTTTCTGTGTGTGTGTGTGTGTGTGCACGTGCATGTGCGTGCACACAACAGGTGCACAACCTTTATTACAAGCATATGCTGCCATAGCAGGCATTCTTTTCATGGGCTCTGGGATTCAAAATCAGGTCCTCATGCCCTCATAGCAAGTATTGACTGACTGAGTTACCTTCCCAGCCCTCATGGCTCATTTATGATGTGTTAAGCACATGTAGGGAAACTAAATACAGATTGCCCCGGGTCCTCCTGCAGGAGAGTGGCAGAGCCCTCCAAGTCCTTGCTTGTAGGTCACAGGCCACATCCCTGTGGGGAATCAGCAGCTGAGGAATGCTTGTAGTACAGCCCTCTGCCCCCAGCAGATCCCTAGATCTTACCTCCCCAGAAGAAGAGCTTTCCTCTAAGTTTGACTCCTGCTCTTCTCAAACACATGCCAGACCTTTGTGGGCATGCCCTGGGCCTGACTCTAGGTAATTCCCATTTCTCTTCCAGTTTCAGCTACATGGTGGCTTTAGGGACCACCAGAAGGGAGTGGGTGGCAATCCCTGTACCTCAGCTTCTATATGCACCCAGGACTCTTGTCTGGTGTTGCTCCCCTCTGGTTAACGCCTGTTATGATCATTCCTTTTCCCTGGAACCTTGGCACAGAGGGAGCAAAGCAGATCAGGTTTTGAATGACTATAAGCATGCAGGCATGGATTTGAACAGCACTGAAGGCTAGTTTTACAGACTGTACTGTGAGCAACCAGCATGGCCTGGGAGCTCCCTGGCCATAAAGGCTCTCGGGTCACACCCCAGGCCAGGGATGCAGAAGGCACAAGTTAACAACATCCCCTGGGTAATTTAAATGAGTATGAAAATCTAGGGAGTGCTAGGATGAAGTGGGACTTTCATCTCCCTCCTTTCCTGTCCTCCCCCTCCTCCTTCTCTTCCTCCCTTCCTCCCTCCCCTGTTCTCTTCTTCCGCTTCCCTCCTTCCCTACCCTTCTCTTCTTCTTTTCCTACTATCTCTCCTTCCCCCTCTATCGCCCCTCCTTTTCTTCCTTCCCTCTCTCCCTCACTCCTTTCCTTTTGTCCTCCCTTTCACCCTTCCTTCCTGACTTCCTTTCTTCCCTCTTTACTAGGGCTCAGCAAAGAGGAACTAATAATTGATTAAATGAAGGGGGCTGGGTGCGAAGAGGAGGAGGTAAAAGTCTTTGGTCTTAAAGCCTGGTGGCTATTTCTCCCCAAGGTGGAGAACAAGCTTCCTGAACTACTTCTTCCCATCCTCCCCACTTCTGGTCCTTTTGATTATTCCCCACTGAGCAAAAGGTGTTTCTGAATGCTTGGAGTGAAACCCACCAGAAAACGGGGCTGCGATACATCACTGGTCTCCTTCCACCTGGACTGACAAAGGTCTTTAATTGGAGAGCCTGGGAGGCAAAAAGCTGGCAGTGGAATGAATTAACTCCCACCTGCCTGGTGTCCCCTTTGCCTCTGGGAGTTTAGAAATGGGGTTTAGAAGAGTTCTCATCAACCAGACCCACGACTAGCCTTTGGCGGCCCATCTCTTTGAGCAGGCACACCTTGGCTTTGAACATTGACCTTCAGAAAATGATGGAAACAAAATAGTCAAAACCAACCTTTAATGATCATTTGCTGCACATCAGGTATTGTGCTAAGTACTTTGTATGTATTTGTTAATTTAATCTTCACATGCCCTACTAGGTAGACACTATGAGCACTGTGACTTTACGGAGAAGTCCAAAGTGCAGAGAGACTATGTTGTCAAAGATCACAGAGCTGCTAATGGGTAGGACTGGGAGTGTAAAGCTAGGTTGTCTGTGCTAAACCTAGAGCTTCTGCAGCAGTGAAGTCCACTCCCTTCTGCTTCACTGTCAGAGGTTGGGTCCTTCATTCTTTTACTTGTTCAGCAAGTGCTCTTAGAACAGCTGCTCGGCCTTAGGGAGCTGACTGCATGCTGTGGACATCCTGTTGAGCCATGCAGATATGCCTCCTGACTTCATGGGTCCTATAGCCTAAGCCCAAGATTAAAACAACAAGGATAACAAAAAGCACAGTAATAATGATGTCATTAAAACTTAACTCATGGAGTGTCTTGAGGACAAAATTATTTAGGAAACTTTATTCGTTTACCCCGTTTCCTGGGAGGAATGAATGGCTTCCTGGTCCCTGTCATCAGAGACTCCACAGATGGTTAGGACAGGGCACAGTCCCTCCTGGATGGAGGAATAACAGAAGGCTGGCCTGGAAGCATCTAAGCACAGAGCCTAAGTCAGACTTGAAGATCCGGGGGGACTTCCTAGAGGAAATAATGTCTCATATGAGACTTGGAAGATGGTAAGAGTCAGAGAGTATTCTGGTGGAGGGCACAGCCTGGGCAAAGGTCTGGAGGTGTGAGAGAAGATGGAATGTATAGAAGGAGTGGTTCAGTAGGGCTGAGACTTTGAGGAGGAAAGGGGATCGAAGGTGAGCCTAGAGGAGGGCATGGGGAACAGAGGGAGAGAAGCAGCAGATGGGAGGTGGGGGAGTGTGGCTTGCTGTGCAGGAAATCAAAAGCCAAACTGCATGGTCTTTTTTCTCAATTGGCAGCAGCCGCCAAGGCACCCAGGTGTCCCATCTGGGAGGAGTCAAAGCCTTTGGAAGCACTAAACTCATACTGGGAAGAAAACACAGCATTGGAATCCAGCCCCCATCTTCAAAAGAGATTGTCACCTTCCCACTCCATCTGGCTGTGCACTCCCCTGGCTCTCCTCCAGCCGCCTACAGATGCACCACTCTGCTGCCTCCTCCTGCCTAGATCAGTCTTGGGACCAGGCCAGGAGGTGGGAAGGCTCTGGGGCTACATTTGACTGCCTCATCCTCTTAAAGGACCCCAGATGCTCCTGGGAGCTAACAGAAAGTGCCTTCTGGACTACAGGAAGGTGGAGAGCTCAGCCACCCTCATCACCCTCCTGCTGCCTGGCTGGTCCCACCACTGGGCAGTCCTTCACATTGAGCCTGGCTTTCTGCTGCTTGAGCTCTGCCTTCCCCTCTCTGGTTACTCTGGAGGCCCCATGACACAGAGGGAAAGCCCTAGGCACACATTGTTAGATAGTTCATAACCGTGACCTGTCACTGGGTGCATAGTGCTTGACCTGGAGGTCAGGGTATTAGACCCATACCCACTTTACAGACGATTAAACTGAGGCTTGGAGAAGCTAAGCCACTTGCTCTGGTGATGCTCAGATTGGGTATGACAGTCTCAGACTTCAAACACTGTAGTGTCACTAGAAGACATGTTTCTCTGGACTTGCTTTGCTCGTTGAACAATAAATACTATTGGCTTTCCATATCTGTGGGTTCTGTGTCCATGAATTTAATCAAGAGTAGATAGAAAATATACAGGGGAAGGAATTTCACCTGTGTTGAACATAGACTTCTGGGGTGCGGGACTCGTGCCTAGGGCTTTGCACATGCGAGGGAAGTGGTCTACCACTGAGGTGTACGACCCCAGCCTTCAATGTTTTGATACAGGGTCTCATTATATGGCCAAGTCTGGCCTTGAACTTGTTGCCTAAGCTTCCTGAGTGCTGGGATTGTGGACTAGACATTTTTTCTCTCTTCTTCCTCCTTTAAACAATGCACCACAGTAACTGTTCGCATTGCATTGGGTTTCATAAGCAGCTGATACATGAATCAAAGTATACAGGAGGATGGGCATCGGTTAGATGCAGACACTACTTTTTTTTTTTTTACACCAAGGAATCAGCATTGGAGAATTTTGGCATCCACAGGAGTCCTGGAATGAGTCCCCAGCAGATGGCTGAGGGACAGTAGTATGCAAGACACCACAGTTAACAATGATGTAACTAAAGACACCAGCCTTTCCTGGGTGCTTATATGGCGTGACGTGTGTGCACTCATGCTGCTCCGGGGGATTGCTCATATGGCATTAGTCATCATACACTAAGGAATATTCCAGAGTATGTGTAGTGTTCTGTGACCATAGTGGCGTCAGGTTGCCCAAGGTCCACTCCAGGAGTAGGTTTCCTCTAGAGGAGTCCAGTTCCCTAAACTAGAGAGCTTAGGAGCTTGGACTCTGGAGTCAGCTTGCCCTTGCTTGGAAACTGCTTCCCGGGCCTCAGTTTCATCTATAAAATGGATATGAATGGGACTGGGGAGATGCCTTAGTGGGTAAAATGTAAGCATAAGGACCTGAGTTCAGATTACCTGAACTCACATAAAAAGCCAGGCATGGTGACTCATGCCCATAATCTCAGTGTTGGGGAGGCAGAAACAGGCAGATCCCAGAAACCTAGCTGAATCGATGAGTTTCAGGTTCAGTGAGAGACCCTGCCTTAAAAAGAGAGGCAGAGGCAGATTGAGGGAGACTCCTAATGTCAAGCCCCGGGTGCACGTCCATGTATACATGCACACGTCTACACAAGTACATATACCACAGCACACACAACACATACATACAACACAACACAGCATACACACATAATACAACACACACACAACACAACACAGCATACACATAAAATACAACCCAGCATGCACACACAACACAATACAGCATATATACACAAAACAACATACATAACACACATACAACATATCACACATACAACACAATACAACATACACACACAACAGCATACACACACAACACAACACAGTATACACACACAAACACACATAACATAACATACCACATACACAACACAGCACAGCATATGTACAACACAACACCCACAACACAGCATACACACAGAAACAGACAATACAATACAGCACACACACAACACAGTATACACACACAACACACATGCACTCACACATACAAAATGGGCATGGCAGTGCTTACTTCTCAGGGAAGTATTATCACAACAGAAACAGTCTGGGCTCCAGAACCTTCCCAGAGCCAATAATGCAAAGCCAAGTTTTTGTAGGGACAAGAGGAAGCTGCAGAACTTGATGAATCTGTACCCCAAGGCTCTGCAGAAGCAGGTCCCGAGTTCAGAACACCTCTCTAAAGTCACATGGAGAACTCTGGGCTCAGGAGCCAGGAAAGGAAACTGTAATGGTTGACGAATCATCATTTATGTAATAAATTTATATAATAGCATTTGTCTATGCTCTTCCCAGATGCCGGCTCTAAGCACTTCACACACATAAATCCAACAGAAACAATACAACCAAAGGTGAATTCAGAGGGAAGGTTTGGGGAAGGGTCTAGTCTGGCTAAGTCCCGGGGATGCTTTCCCAAAGAAAACCAAACCCAGGAATGAGGCTGGGTGACTGTGTGCACAGATTAGCATGCTCAGGAGGTGGATAACGTGATAACATGAGAACGTGGATAATGTCAGAAGCTGTGAGCTGAAAGGCTGGTGGATGCCCAGTTCTGCTTTGTATAGAACAATGGGACAGCCAGAAGAGAACAGCAAACCAAGCTCACTTTGGGGTATACGTCCACCCTCATGGTCTGCAAGGAAGCACAGCAACCCTAATAAGCTCCCCTTAGTCACCCAGCAACATGCACACTCACAGTCACACTTACCCAGACTCTGCATTGAAATCACTTTCCTGGAGAATCTGTCTGTTGGCTGGGGGTCTGGGGAGCAGTGGAAATACCCCTAAGAACAACAATGGCCTTGACCAGTCAATTGGCTCTGTAGCCTCAGTTTCCTCTGATGTAGTATGGAAGGGTTCTATGATACTTGCCTCTAATTCCAACTCTGAGATCTCCAAGGTGGATGGAGTTGATGCTACAATCTCTCCCTTCCCTTCTCTCTTTCTGTTGACATGTTTGTGTGTGTGTATGTTATGTGCAGATGTGGATGTGAGTGAGGGGAATGCAAGAGATGGAAGCTGGGTGTCTTCTGTCACTCTCCATCATATATTTTGAGACAAGTTTCTCACTGAACTGGAGTTCACTTACTCTGTTACGTTGGTTGGCCAGAAAGCCCCAGGGATCCTTCTGTATCTGCCTTCCCAGCCCTGGGATTACCCAGCTTTTTTTTTTTTTTAAAGATATTTTATTTATTATTTTTATTTTATGTGTATGAGTATATTGCTTATATGTATGTGAGTGCGTCCGTGTCGTGCAGTGCCGCAGAGGTCAGAAGAGGGCTTCAGATTCCCCTGGAACTGGAGTTAAGGAGGAGCTGGTGGTATCACTCAGTTGTAGAGTGCTTGCTGACATGCAAGGCCCTGAGTTCCATCCCCAGCACTGAAAAACAAATGAGGAAGAGAGTCCATGGCTCACTCTGCATGTGATGGTGGGAGCCGGTGAGGAGACGGACGTCCGTAAACCAGGGAGAAAGCCCTCAGCTACCACCTTTATCTTGGACTTTCAGTCACCAAGCTGAGAAATAAGCTTTTGTGGTCTTGCCCCAGTCTATGGATTTTGCTGTGACTAATACAAGTAAGGAGTTCAGATAGAACAGAAGCCCCTGAGATTGGGAGGGTGAGGAGTCAAGATTACTCTCCATCCCTGGCAGGAAGTTAATCAGACTGAAACCAAAATCAAACCAAACACAAAAGGGTCATTAGTGACATTGGAATTTCAGATAGACAATAAATAATTTTTAGTGTACGTCCCATGAAGCCGTTGAGACATACTGAGACTTATTGGTATTTATTTACTGGTATTTTATGTAGTAACTCTAAGTACCCCACATTCTAACAACCCAACAAGTGACCGTATAACAGTCTCCATCTGGAGATTTTATGCTGGGTTTTGCTTAAATGGGGATAAAAATAACTGGTGTCGCCAGGCGTGGTGGCATACACTTTTAATCCCAGCACTTGGGAGGCAGAGGCAGGCAGATAGATCTCTGTGAGTTCAAGGCCAGCCTGGTCTACATAGTGAGTTCCAGGACAGCTGGGCTACAGGGAGACCCTGCTTCAAAAAGATCAAAAAAAACCAAACAAACAAACAAACAAAAAAACAAAACAAAACAAAAACCTGGTGTCTCTGCCATACAGTTATTGTATGAAAAGTGCTCAGAACTGTGCCCAATATATAGTATGGGATGTGTGACTCTTTAATGTTTTACATGTATATGGATATATATATATATATATATCTCACATGTTTCTATGTATTTGAGACAGAGCCTCATTAGGTATCTCGGAAGTCCATATGTAAATCCAGGCTGGTCTTGCCTCCTGCCTGAGCCTTTGAGCACTGGGACTGCAGCCCACGTAGCACTGCTCTGGGTATTAGTACATCTTTAAACAGCATTTGGAAAAAGCCTGGTGAAGGTTTCAGGGGAGAGCCTCAGGCAGGAGGAGATGTAGGATTCTTTCCATCCCAGTGGGGGTCCCCGATTAAGCACCCCAGCCTGCTCTTTTGCAATGTGGAAGAATCCAAGCTCACTGGATCTGTCTCATCCTCCAAATGACACATGGGGAGCCATGTACCTCAGGTTAATGGGTCCCAATTCCTGGGGACATCCCATAGAACTAATGGGGATGGATATCACTTGACTCAGGTTGTCAGGGAGACCTGCAGAGGGACAACTGTATCCCAACTTGCATGTCCAACACCAGTGACCCTGCATCCAAAAGTCCCTGAACATTGTTGACATGGCCAAGGTCAGAGTAGAGAGTCCAGATAGGAAACATCTCACCAAAATCCAACTTTCCCACTCTCCCATGGTGCCAGGCACTGTGCTACGCACCTTCTCCACATTCTTTCATCTTCCTTGCACAGTGGCCTGGAGGAGGTGCCCTTATGACCCCCACAGGAGAAACTGAGGCTCAGGATGAGTGAAAACTTTGCCAGGCATAGTGGCACACATCTGTAGCCTCAGAACTTTGGAGTTGAAGGCAGGAGAATTGAGAGTTTGAGACCAGGCTGGGCTAATAGTGAGATCTTATCTCAAAAAGAAGTAAGTGAATAAATACAATAAAAAAGAAAAAAAGGAAGGAAGGAAGGAAGGAGAGGGAGGGAGGGAGGGAGGGAGGGAGGAAGGAAGGAAGGAAGGAAG